TCGGCTATGCTGCTATGGCCTTGACCTTGTCTGGGTCAGCCCGAACGCCCACGTTGCTTACGAAGCAACCGAGAACTTTAATCTCTGGTGACGGGAAAACGCACTTGTCGATGTTGGCGTAGAGCTTGTTCGCTCGCATTACGTCCAACACTCGACAGAGGTGTCCTAGATGCACCTCCATGGCCGTCTTGCCTCCCTCGGCACGGCTATGGACGAATGTGTCGTCGAAGTACGTCTGTACGAAGGTACGCAAAGGGCGGAGCAATTGCGTCACCAGGCGATTGAACGTCACCGGGGCGTTAGACATGCCCTGCGGCATGACGAGTCACTCCCAAAGCATGCCGCTTGGAATGCTCACCGCGGTGAGCGGGATGTCACTCTCCCGCATCAGGATCTGGTAGTATCCGTCTACCAAATCCAGCGCACTGTACAGTACGCTCCCGGCCATGTTGTTTAACAACACATCCTTTCGTGGGATTGGTGTTTGGGCCGGCAGCGTCGCGTTGTTCAGCTTGTTGTAAGCATGAACTAGACGCCACTTTCCGTTCGGCTTCCGAACGCAGAAAGTCGGTGTCGAGTGCGGGGATTTCGACTCCCGCACCATGCCTGCCTTCGCTTTCGCGGCGAAGAAGGCATCAATGCCCTCGCACTGTTCGCGCGGGAGAGGCCATTGCCTCGTGACACAATAATTTGTGCTAGGCACAAATCGATCTCATTCCGTACTTCTCGATCTGGTGGGAGTTGGGTCGGTGGGTGCTTGTTCACCACGCGTACTCCGTCACCAAGGGATACACCGGATCCTTGGGGTTCTTAAGGATCGCGGAGCCCAAGCGCGTCTGACGCTTCTTGTTCAGGTCTTCCAGGACGTTTTCGTCCAAGACAGAGGAGGAGTTCAGCTCCTCCCGAGTGGTCTCAGGTCTCATGAGCACCATCTCGGCAATCTCCCCAGTCTTGAGGTTGGCCAGGAAAGACTCGGCCGTCATTTCCTCGAGGTTCAGCATCTCTGTAACCCCTGGCAACGGTTCCAAGTGGACACCAGATGACTTGACGGGTAACTCGGTCTCGCCATCGAAGATGTGATAACACTCTTCCACCGGGCTTGTCGGAGGAGCCCGGGACCTGGACGCCGAGTCGCTTGAAGCGACGTCGATCTGAACGAAGTTCGGATCGACTTGAGGCGGCGGCGGCGTCGTTGACGACGGCGACCGTGACGTGGAGCTTTGCTGTCCACGTCTAGGGACGTCGGCGCTACGACATCCGAGGCACTCGTGGCCTCGTGTGGTACTATGTTACCCACACAGGAAGTGTTCAACGTCTTCCTCTTCAGTTAAGGTCTGCGCGACCGCGTGTGGCACTGTGTTACCCACACAGGAAGCGTATCCGACGTCTTCCTCTTCAGTCAAGGTCTGGGCGACCGTGTGTGGAACTCTGTTACTCACTCTGAACACGCTGTTCTCGGTGTTCATGACAGCTGCAGCTGTCTGCGGAACTAAATTATCCGCTTGTGGACCTAAGTTACCCACTTGACCAGCGCCTGTTCTGGGCGCTGCCACCGTCAAAACATCCTCGGAGTCGTCATATACGTCGACGATTCCCAAGCATCTGCCGGATGCTTTGGTACCCTGGCAACCCTTGCGGGCGCCCCGGATCCTGACAGAGGTGAGAACATGACTCACCGATGCTCTGCCAGACTGCGCAGGGCGGCTGGCACCGATTGCCTTGCCTCGCCAGTCGATCCAGGGCTCGTGCTTCTCAAGCCAGGGCATGCCCAGGATCATATCATATGGATCCATATCGAGGACAGTGAACTGTTCGAGGCTGTCAAAGTCTTCAAACTTGACGGCCAGATCCACTTGGACGTTGGGGACAGTGACGACCTTCCCGTCGGCCAGTCGCACTGACACCGTCCCGTTGCCCTTGCTTTCTCTCAAAGCTTCGGACAACTTGTTGCTGTTACGAGCAACCGTCTGGCGGCGTGCGAAATTCTTCGACGCCCCAGAGTCAATCAAGATTCTAAAGGGATGATCGTATCCCCGTACACATCCGTGTACTACGAGCAACCCGCCGCTGCTCTTCGCCGATTCGAGAGTGCGAAGACTCTCAGGGGCTAAGTCCCCGTGGTACGCGCCACCCGCGCACCCATCACGAAGACTTAGTTCTTCCCCAGTAGGGCGCCCCGCCCCTACTGGTTCCCTGCGTTCCCCTGACCCCGGGATCCTGGCTTCTGCCAGCAACCCTTGAGGACGGGCTTTAGAAAGGACCGTCTGCGGAGTCTTTCCGCGGGATCGTCGCGCTTGATGTGGCCCATCTTCCCGCAGCCGAAGTAGCGGGTGTCACGCTGTTCGGCGGACCCCAGCTCCATGGGAACTGGTCCGTTGGGGCTTGTTCGACCGGAGGCCGACAAGGAACTTCCAGGCCACGCTGAGGCCGGCATACGCGCCTGGCGATGGCTGTACTCTTCTTGAAGAGCCACTAGATTTGCCTCTTCAAGGGTGCTTGCCTGCACCCGGAGCAGCTGAGTGCGTGCGGGGCCCACTCGAAGGCCGTCCATGAACACAGTCATCTTGATGTGTTCATTGAGTGGGTTTCCCACTAGGGACGCCGTGAGCTCCCGTATCTCTTGCACATACTCGTGCAGTTCGCGCCTTCCTTGTTTACACGCGAGGAAGCGCGAACGCTGGCGGTACTCGTAGTTCGCCGGGAGGAACGCGGCTCGGAGCTGTTCGCACAGCTGAGCCCAGGATGTGAAACATCCAGGGGATGTTGCTTCCCGAGTGTACACCCAACTCTTAGCACGACCGCTAAGGTTGGAGAGTGCAAAAGCAACACGCAGTTGCTCGGTCGAGATCAGAGCCGCGTCCATCGCGAGCTCTACTTCTCGGACCCAGAAGTGAAGGTTCTCGCCTTCCTTCCCTTCATGCGGCTTAACCTTCAGCCGTATTGGCTTCAGATGAGGCGAATTTGCTTCTGCCACCAGAGCCTGCAGTTTCTCCCGCACATGCACAATGAGGCCCTGCTCGTACGCGTCAAACGCATTGACGCGCTCGATCTGCTCGGCCGGTGTTGACACCACCAGGCTTTGCAGGGCCTCCATCCCGAATATGCCTGCCATCTTTCGACCCGACTCGAACTGAGAGTCGATCATTGGGGAGAAGTCGTTCCTGTCCATGGCAACGAACTTCGGAGAGGTTCAGGTAGTCTACCCGCGGTGGCGTGGATTGACTACGAGTGCTACCAAGTGTGAAGGGGTCACACAGCACCTTGCGCTAGAGGAAGTTATCTTCCGAGAGTATACAAACTCTCAGTGAACGGCAGTTCACAGGTCCCCTCTTTATTCAAAAGAGAGCGAAGTGACCTAATTAAGGTAGAATGTAAACTGCGTATATTTATAGGTAGATTAAAGCTTGGGTTTAATACAAACTATAAGTCACCTATAGAAATGCAATGTCGTTAACCAATGGTTGGCTTTGAACGACCTTGGTACTTTGTACCAAATATCCCGAAGTATGACGTGTCATACTTCTGAAGTGTGACGTGTCACACTTCATGTAACCAGAGTACACTTAGGGCTACGTACCCCGTTACACGGTGGGTCAGCACAATAATAAAAAAGGAAATTCCACAATTACCAATACAGCAAAAACTGCAGTAAGTATAGCAATATTGCTTACAGCTCTGCGTCCCAACTAAAGCTAACGTCGCCACATCCCATAAATCTCTGTTTGCACGCAAAAATATAATCAGCTCAAAGTTGGCAGGCAACATGCATGTCGCTGAGGGGCTCGTAGGAGTAAGCAGTCCGTTGCAAGTTGCTTGTTTGTGGACTCTGAAGTAATGATTGGATATCAGATTCATACATGTATCTACTACGCAGGAGCTAGTAAGGACAATACAGACAACAAGAAATGGTCTGACGTCCAATTGATTCGTGAATGTTCTACTGTTGTCAATTCTATTGCAAATATTGGAGCCATATCATACTAATATTTTTTAAGAAAGCTGCAATAATCTGCTTTTATACATGTATTTCGAAAAAAATGATTTAACAACTTTTTAGCTTCAAAATGGCAAATTTGTAGTTCAATGTGGCAAAATGTAAATTCAAAGTCCCCTTATCGTGAAAAAAAAAGTGCTGATGCAATGCTGCCAATCACTTGTTGGATTGGAACATCACGCCGTTAACGCCATCAATTTCTCGGGTGGCAGTCAAAAATCCTGGCACCTGAAGCAGCATCTCAATAAAGAACGGCAAACCGAGTCGGTTATTTTCGCTAATCGACTAAGACCTGTACTATCTAATCACCTGTCATATTCTCTGAGGAGTACATATCGCTTTTGATCAATTTTCAGACCAAATTTTGCCATCTTGAACAAGGTGAAAAGGTAAAGTAATACTTCTGTTGAGACCCCCTGCGTCTACCGGTAGCGTATTCATCGATCGCATTTGCCAAGTACCGGTAATTTGTAGTTATATCCATCACTCAAATGGTTTCAGAATTGCTCGACGAATAGTTAGCATGATCGTTTTGACGTGGCTGTTATGTTGGCGGCGAGATGATTACGCTCTTCAGACAGTCATGCGAGGCAATCAACTGGTCCTGATTCCATCATTTCCAGCGTATTTTTACGAAGCGGTGAACTGATTTTACATTGAAGCTTCCTCCATGTTTTCTGAAGCAGATCGAAAGCGCTCGACGCGAGCATTTAATACTAGTACATGTTACTGCCGTAAAGTCTCGCGCGCCGGAGCAACATGTGGTAGAGTGAGGTCGGTCATTGTGTTCGTTATGTCCCTGGTGGTTAATAGCGTTTCACGACTAGCAGATTGTTGTCCTAGCTCGACGCAATGTTTTGAACGGGCAAGTTGAAATCATCACCAGTTGATGCAGCTTCAACGGTTGTGAGGAACTACAACGTTAGCCATGTTAGCTAAACCAGAATAAGGACCCGAATCCTAATCAATACACAAATTTTTATCGCTTGCGGTCTCTATAAACTGCTCAGCAGATCTCGGCGTCATCTGGTCGGCATCGGAAGCCCTGCACGATCTCCATGTCATGTAAAGCGCGTCGCTCGGGCGGCGGGAAAACCCAAGAGGCCCGCATGCCGTCCGTCCCGCAGATGACGCTCAGATGTCGCTCTAGTCTCGACGTGGACTTGTCCCCACCACGGCGAGCTGCAATCTGATCGGCGATCAATGTGAAGAGCGGGTCCTGATAAATATTATACAGCTCCATGGTGAGCATGAGCGAGCAGAAGATTCCAAACACGGCGGCAGCAGCCAGGATCCAGCCGCCCAACTTGCCAGGAAACTGGTCGCTCTGCAGGCCGCACGTGTACTTGCCACGCGAGCACATGGCGTACTGCATCAACACCAGCAGCGCCGCCTGCACACTTGTGGCCGTCACGTATAGCAGCATCAAGAGAAACGCCTTTTGGTTGCCGATCCCCACGCAATTGTTCACCCAGGGACTGCCCAGAAAACAACATTTATTGCATCAGTGCAGTGTTCTATGTTTGCATATAACATCCTTCTTACCAGTGGTGATCTTGGAGCACAATGCATCGTTCACAAGTATGGCAGTGCGTGGCCCTGTAAGACAGCAAGCAGGAGAGGGTCAGCTATAGCAATCTATATATTTTCTTACTAGCTTTGCGCACCTCGTTGGCCTGTAGATCTCGCATTCGTCGCAGTAGATGAGCAGCGAGCCGTCGTCCTCGCATTCCTCGTATTCATTCAGTGGCATCTCCTCCTCGATCTCCTCCACTTCGTCATCGCTCTGATCTTCTGCTTCTGCAGGTGGCAACCTCTGCAGCTTGAATGGCACCGTGCCGGGGTTGCTAGTGAGCACCACGATGTGGCACCAGAGGCACATGCCGAAGAGCCCCGTGAACCAGACCCCTTCGGTCAGCCCCATGAGTGACAACAGCCCCACCCACTGCGAAATAGACGCGAGAACCGCCACCAGTAAACCGAACACCAGCACCCAAGCGAATAGCGCGATCACGACGCCCGAGGGGTCCCACACGAACCACAGCGGGCGCCGACGGGCCAGCATGTTGCCGCTGCGTCTTGACGGCATGACTTAGATTTGCAATGAAAATTTAGGAAAATATTGCCAGTTTTAACCCAGAAAGGAACAAAATGCAATACAATACTGTACTGAATGGGCTCAGCGTCAAGCGCGGTCGTGTTAAAAACAGCTATTTACTGTATGTACACGTGCACTGTATCCCTGGATAGTTAAACATCCATTTATCGGGTGTACGGCAATCTGTGAAAGATAACCTTGGTTGATGGATGACCTGGCAAAAACTCTCGAGCCTCAACCACATTTACGTATTCATGTTGCCGGTTGCTACCTTCCTCCGAAACAGACGTGTACAGCTGACATTATGATGACTCGGTCAAGTTTCGAACGAAGTCTTGCTGCGCAATGACACACCATTTGGCTACCTTTGATCCCATAGTACTAGCTCTCAATTAGTACGATATTGACATTCACCAAACTATACAGCACATTATTTATTGCAATGACTTTCCTTCGCATTTTTACTTCAGCAATATCATTTATGAAGGCTTATTCTGTGTCAGAGTTCAATTGAAGATACTCTTGACTGTCCACAGTTTTTGTGCACAATTCGACCACCGTCCCGACACAACGACCAGCGCATACAACTCGATTGTCCATCCACGACCACGACCAAGACGCCAACCTGGTGGGGTAGTCTCCACTCGCCCCCATACGTGTCTCCAAGCGTCTGTCGCCAAGCACAAGTACTACACCATTTAACTTGTGCATGACGAGTCAGTTGAGCTAGTCGTCAACCGTTTCTTTGACGATTCTCTCGCCTGTCACATGGCCTCGCTCTCAATGTCATCCGGTATCTGGCTCAAAAGCTGCTCGTCGATGTCTTTATCGCCGTCCTCCGACGCTCTCTCACTGAGTATGGACTCTCTGCCCGCAGAGCTGCGTGGCGACCCAAGTGTGCTGCAGAGTACAGTGCCAGTGGACCCATTTGTGATGCAGGAGAGGCAGGAGTACACATTCTATGGGCTTGAGCAGGACGGAGCGCTGCGGCCTGGGGGCGAGGTGGCTCTAATGACGCGAAGAACAATTGGATTATTACTCAATTACGTAGGCATTGGCGCTCTGTATGGAGGCATCAACAGTCTCGTTGTGCCCTTCTTCAGCAACTATCTTCACCTACAGCAATACCAGGTCCGCGCGACTTCTACAGTTCTCAATACGGCGTGGACTTTCAAGGCCTTTGGTGGATTATTGACTGATAGTTTGAGGATATGTGGCTACAGACGGAAACCCTATTTGGTGTTTGGCTGGTTATTATGCTGTGCGAGTCTACTGTACCTCGGAGCGTCCGGGATGCCAAAAGCAGGAGATACATCCGCAGCGTGGAGGTATTTGCTGTTTATGACTCTGGGCACCATCGGATATTTCCTAGCAAACGTGGCAGCAGATGCCATTGTGGTGGAGATCGCACAGCGAGAGCCCCTACCAACAAGAGGACACGCGCAAGTGTCAATCTACGCTGCCAGAATGTCTGGAGCCATTATCATGGACTTGTTCGTGACGGGCACGCTCAATGGAGCGGCTTATGGGGGTAGTTTTTCGTGGTCGCTGGATTTAAACCAGGTTTTGTTGGTACTGGCAGCGTGCTCGTTGATCCCATTTGTGGGTTCTATTTGGTTTTTGCATGAAGACCCGACAGCTCAAACAGTACCCATTCTCTCCTTCTCCGACGCTGTTTCGTGTCCTGTACCGCCACCACGCAACCAAACGAACACTGCTCCTCTTGACCCGCCGTTGAATTTCAGAGAACGCTGCCATCTCGTCTGGAGATTGGTTCAAAGTCGTGTCATGTGGCAACTGCTGATGTTCGAACTCATTGCCAGTTTTTGTTTGACGATGGACTCGAATGCCGTCCCAGCGATTGAAGCGAACTGGGTGGACGTGGACCCTTGGCCGAAAGCGATCTCGCTAGCGGCGTGGAGCTTGGCGTTCATTGGAGGCTTGTTAGCGACTCGGCGCTACCTGTTGCGTGGATCGTGGACCAATCTCTATTGTCTTGCGACTGTATGGGTGCTAGGTGTCGATGTTGTGACTGTAGCGTGTACAGTCTTCGATGTGGTGAGGAGACGAAGTTTCTGGCTGTATATGCAGGTGCTTGCCGCTCCGGCTGTGGCTCTGCGGTTCATTGTTCAGTTGTTCCCGATTGTGGAGCTTGCCCCGCGTGGAATTGAGGGGACAACGTACGGCCTGGTGATCACTTTTCGAAATATGGCTATTCCTTTGGGCACGACAGCATATAAAGCCATTAATTCGCACTTCTCGGTCTCGGACGAGGACGTGCATCGTGACTCGGATTCCACAAGACTGCAGGTTACTTACACATACCTTATTGCATGGACCTTCCAGCTCATGAGTCTCGCTTTCATCGGACTGCTTCCTTGTCAGAAACTCGACGTGCAACAGCTGCGTTATTATGGAGGCTATAGTGCGTCGGGAGGGTGGCTTGTCGTCGCTGTGCTTTTCAGTGTGCTTACTTATGTGAACACTGCGAACGTCTTGACCCTGTTTGAGAGTACTGCTTGTCTTCGGATGGCTGGCGGCACAGGATGCGGGAGGTGAGGAAATTATCACAGTTAAAACGAATAAATTACTGTTAAATAAAATGTGTCGCGATCCAGTGCGATCATTGAGCTCCAATTTCGTTTCTTCGTCAGCACAAAAACTGACAACGGTAGTACCGTACTACTACACGTAGTATTAATTATTGGTGTAGTCGACGTTAGTGAACAGCTCTGCCTCTGTAGCATCCACAACAGGGAGCACAACATTCAGCATATAGCGACGAAGAAGTGCATGGTTGGGAGGAACGTTCGAAGTTGAGCGATCGAGATTAAAATGTGAAACATGGCAGCAAACTCTGCCGACTCAAGTAATTAAAACGTTGACGGGCGCCCGAAAAGAAGGTAAAGCGTGTAATCTTATCTTTGCCGACACTACCAATCGCGAAATTAATCTCTGCAAGTCCACTGAACTTCAGTGCTTCAGTCTGAAGCGGCGACGACAACGACGATTACGAACGACATGTATGATGGAAATGGGAAGAACAAACGTCGTCAGCACCTTTGCAAGGTATGCTCGGCAATGGCGACGCCCCAAACGAAAAGCTTTGAAAGCAGCTACTTCTGCCCCCGGTGCACTCAATCCCACGCCGGCTACGTACCTCTATGTAATCGCGTTCGGAGAGAGGATAGCGGCAACACGCTCACGTGCAGCCAGATTTGGCACCAGGTCTGGCGAAACGGAACTGCGATTCCAGCACACCTGAAGAAGCGCATACGCTTTCGCAAGCGTAAGCGCGCTGACGAAGAGAAAGAAGACAGTAGTTAGCTAGTTAGTAGTCAAATCAATAGACTGTTCGCTCACCAAACTTTTCGGCCGAAAATTTGGTGAGCGAACTTCTGCCGCGTAGCGATGAAGCTCCGGCGGCCATCCAAAATGGCGCGAAGCCGCCAATCTCACTTATCGTTTTGGAGGGGAAATACCTTACAGAAGACATTGCGATCTTTTTTTATTCTGCAGTAGCCAATCAAAACCCCAGATAATAGCGTATGGTGGATACATTGCGAAGTTTTTGTCCGTAGAAACGATGTCTTTGCACTTTTTCGCAGTGTCCACTCGCGAGACAGCTACCATTAGATAAATTGTTGCATTCTTCTGTCAATAGTTTAATCAGGATAAACCTTTATTCTGTATAATACAGAATAAAACCCCGCTTTAAAAGGGTTAAACCATTCCTCAATTTGCACCGGACAACACACTCTGATCGTCTCCGAAATATGAAGTCCGCCGTCATCTTCACGCTTCTGGCTGCCATGGCCACTGTCAACGCTCTAGTCACACATGATCTCAGACCTATATCGATTGGATCGGAGGAGAAGGACTGTCCCAAGTACTGCCTCGACATCGATGACCCGGTGGGTGATGAGGAAGGCAACATGTACTCGAACGAGTGCTACATGAAGCGAGCCAAGTGCGCGAAGAACAAGCCAACAGATCCTCCCTTCTGGAAGAACTTTAAGTTTTCTAACGATGGCTCCACCACCCAAGAGACCCCCAAAAGGAAATGCTCCAGTGGCTGCCCCGATGTTGAGCTGCCTGTCTGCGGCTCCGACGGTGTCAGATACGGCAACCCATGCGAGCTTAAGATCGCCGCCTGTGAGCACCCCGAGCTCAACATCGTCGAGGCTGTGGGTATGGGTTGCAGGAAGTCGAGGGTGCAACTTCACTAGGCATAATTGATGACGAGGGGGCCACAAAGTCCTTTGTGGGTAAAGCTTAGCTTGAATATACTCGTTCTTTGTCGTAAAAGATAGCATCGCTGATAATTCTGAGTTGTGTGCGTTTTTACGCTCGCTTTCAACGCGCAGGGATGTTGATGTTTCGCGCATGCTACCGCAGCGATGGTTGTCGAGTGGGGACGCGCCATTGGGCCAGCCATTGCTCCATGTAGGAGGATAGACCGTTCAGATTTGGCCGCCCCGATCTTTTCGCCCATGCGACTGCTCTCCGTCTATTGCGTCGAGCTCAACGGCTCTGCCCTATCGACTACGCAATGCTCGCAGCTCGTAGCACTGCAAGGTGTCGTTGCGCTGTCCCCGTTAGTCCTGCAAGTAATGGCCGATCGTAACTTGTATTTCCTGCGCAGGGTCTCAGCTGGTGCTTCTTGTGTTGTGTATGCGAAAGGTGCTGCATCTCGCAGGAGCACACACCAGTGGCCTCAGATACGTAAACGAAGTGGATGTCGCGCTCTTCGCGCTTCATTTGGTGGCCGTGATGGCGGCAGTGGCCTGTTCCGTGGCTGTGACGGGGGTCGCAACGCTGCATCACTCGTCTGCGTCTCTGGTGATCGGAGCGAGTGTCGCGGCAGCAGCCTGGTGCTTCTACGGGGCTCAGCTATTGTACGAGTTTCTGCAGTGCAGACAAGGATGTAAGGTCATCACGCTTGTGGTGGCACTGACTGCTACGGAGGAGTTCATGCTGAGAGGGAGACCGGTGCAGTCAGATGTGTTGGTGGTGACGTTGGTGCATTGGCAGTCGCTGATCTCGGCTGCGGTGGCGGCATTTGCAGTGCTCAGAGTGCTCAATTACCGACGACGCGGAGTTTGTACTGAAGATGGAGGAGTATCTAAGAGTTTAGAGAAGAAAAATACGATGGAGAGTCCGTTGGATCGTGTAGGATGGGGGCTCTCTCAACTCTCGTACCATTGGATCTCTCCGTTTATTGCGCTGGGAAAGAAGCGTCGACTGGAAATGGAGGATGTTCCCGATCTCCCGTTGAGTGACGCGACGTCTGTCGCTGCTGCGCGGTTCGAGACCGAGTTGCAGCGTGAATTCCGCGATAATCGCGTGCCAGACTGGTCATTCCTGCGTGTAACACGACGGCTGTACGGTGCTGACGTGCTCCTGTTCGCTGTATGGTCAACTGTTAACAAAGCTATTGGACTAGCGAGTCCGTTGCTACTGAAACTCTTTCTAGACTGGGCCGATTCGCCGAATCCTTCACTCTCCAAAGGCTACTACCTCGCCGCGGCAATGGTAATTAGATCGATCCTATCAGCCGTGTCGGGTACACAGTACAACTTGGCTTGGAAGAGATTTGATCTCCGGGTTCGAGCTGGACTGGTGTCTGCTATCTACGCACGAACACTGGAGCTATCGGGAGAGGGAAGACGTCAAGCTGGAGGACTCGGGCGTATCACGAACTTGCTCTCTGTTGATGTGGGACGCATCATTGGAATGCCCAGTACACTATTCGACATGGTCCTGATCCCAGCAGAGATCGCTGTTGCTCTTGTCTTACTGAGCAAAGCCGTCTCTGTTGCGTTCGTCGCTGGAGTCGCAGTACTGGCAGTCATGCTACCGCTCCAGACTGTTCTGGGTCGTAAGATCCAGAGCGTCACGGCTGAGATGATGCGCTTCCGGGATAAACGTGTGGGTCTTGCAGCTGAAAGCCTCAAGGCGATTCGAACTTTGAAGCTGCTGGGATGGGTAACGTCTCGACTTGAGGCTATGAGTGAGAGTCGAGCGCTAGAAATGGGGAGATTGCAAGTGCGCAAGTATCTGGACGCCTTCTGCGTCTTCTTCTGGGCGTCCACGCCGGTGATTGTACAGGTGTCCGTCTTTGCCACTGCAGTCTTCTCTGGACGAGACATTTCGGCTGCAGATGCGTTTACGGCGATAGCATTGTTGGACCGACTTATCTTCCCCATGAACTATTTCCGTGGATTATTAATGGATTTCTAGAGGCACAGGTCTCAGCGCTGCGTATTCGAGGCTTCCTATTTGACAGAGAGGAAGACAAGAGCAGAAAATCTGAAACAAACAACGAGCCTCCATCCAATTCCAGTGAAGTAGACGAAGCAGTTGTGAGTATTCGTGACTATGATTTTGAGTGGGGCTCAGCCAAGATGGAGACTACTGAAGACGATGACACTGATGGATCCAGCGCAGAGACGCCTCTTTTAATGGAAGATTCGCCTTCATCGCCATCATCTCGTCACCACTTTGTACTGCGAATCAATCAGCTACAGCTACAACCAGGATCGACGTATGTGGTGTGTGGCTCCGTGGGCTCTGGTAAATCGTCGCTTTTGCTTGCGTTACTTGGCGAAATGTCAGGGCGATCGAGTAATGTTGCTGGTTCCTTCAAGTGTCAAGCGTCTTTACGTTGCTCGTACTCCCCGCAGACCCCGTGGCTCTTCTCCGGGGGTGTCCAATCCAACATAACTCTGGGTACTGAAGACGTAGGCGAAGAAGATTCAGAGCGATATGAGCGTGTTCTACGCGCCTGCGAGCTCAACGTAGACCTTCACAAGGTAAAATCTCCATTCAAGGTGGCTGAGAGTGGCAGTAACTTCAGTGGCGGACAACGGGCTCGACTCAATCTAGCGCGTGCTCTCTATCAACGAGCAGATCTCTATTTGCTCGACGATCCTCTTAGCGGTTTGGATGTGACTACAGCCAGCAAAGTGGTGACCAACTGCTTCATGTCAGGCTCCAGTCTCTTCTCGAAAGACGCTGCTGTAGTCATCGTGACGCATTCGCTTCACCTTCTGCCGCTTTTCCCTACCGACACACAGATTCTCGTCTTGGATGATGGCTACATTGTCGAGCAAGGGACTTATAACACATTGAAGACAAAAGACCCTCCCAGTCGCTTGGTCACCGTACTAGACAACTCTCCAAACGAAGTAAGCGACACCAACACCGAACCTACTGCTCAATCAACTGAGGAGACAGCTGAAGCCGACGATGAGGCCGAGGAAGCGACGGAAGAGCAGCCGTCCGATGAAGAAGAACACCGTGAATCTGGTGTCGTTGGGTGGCACGTCTGGAAAGCCTATGCGACGGATGTAGGTCGGATACTCTCGGTTGTCATTGTCCTGGCTGTAGCAGTCATGCAGGCCTCTTGCAACTCACTAGACTGGTGGATTGCTGTGTATACGAACGGCAAGCATTCCATCTCCCCACGGGAGTTTGCTCTGGTGTTGCTTTACATCGCTGGAGCGAACATTGGGGCTGTATTCGTCCGCTCCTTTCTCTTCGCCTACGGTGGTCTTCGAGCCGCGAGATCCACGTACAACAAGCTGGTGCAGAGTGTGTTTGCAGCCCCTTTGAGGTTCTTTGAGCGCACACCTACCGGCCGTGTACTCAACCGACTGAGTGGAGACACGTACGCAGTTGACGAATCTTTGCCTTTCATTATCAATACTTTCCTAAGGGATGCAGCGGGTGTGACAGGTGCGCTGGTAATTCTCTTTTACGGGAACCGATTGGTGTTAGTGCTGCTGGTTCCTCTTAGCGTCTTGTACTTCCACTTGCAGCGGTATTATCGTCCGAGTTCGCGTCACCTCAAGCGACTGGATGCAGCTACCCAATCGCCACTACTGGCCATGTTTACGGATACGCTGGACGGTCTCACGGTTCTCCGTGCTGCAAGGAAACAGCAGCAGTACATCCATGGCTACGGAGTGCGTTTGAACCGAAGTCAGCGTGTTTCTTTGCTCGGTTCAACGACTGGTGCGTGGTTCGGACTGCGCCTCGATATGCTCGGCGTGTGTGTAACCTCGTTTGTCGTTATATTCGCCGTGGCTGACTTCAATCTCACGGGGTCTGTAAACCCTGGTATCTTGGGTCTCACCCTCACGTACGCGCTTCCAATTGTGGGGAGACTCAACGCCATTCTCAATAGTTTTGTGGATACTGAACGGCAGATGATTGCTGTTGAACGTGTCAAGGAGTACGCCGATTTAGAGCCCGAAGAAGCTGTCGTTGGAGCTACCAAGACAAGTGAATTACCGCATTTCTGGCCGACAGCGGGTCACATTTCGATCAAGGCGTTGACTGTAACTTATGGCCCATCGACCCAAACTTCTGACAAGGTTGATGCCGAGTGGGAGTGGGTGGGGCCACGAGTAGTAGCACCTGCGCTGAAATACGTCACGTGTCACATCCCAGCGGGTCAGAAGCTCGGTATCTGTGGACGTACAGGTGCCGGGAAGTCGACGCTGTTGAACGCTCTCTTCCGAGCTGTCCCGTGGGAACGTAGCGGTAGTATCTTGATCGACGACGTGCCATTGGACTCTCTTGGACTTCAAGACCTGCGGTCGCGACTTACGTATATTCCCCAGGACGTGGTGCTTTTTTCGGGTACGGTACGCTCCAACCTCGATCCCAGCGGAGCATTGGAAGACGAACGCCTTTGGACGGTGCTGCGAAAGTGTGGAGGACTTGCGAATGCTGTTGCTAAGCTAGATCGCGGCCTAGATACTGTGGTCGAAGGTGGGGCGGAAGAGACGTTCAGTCAGGGACAAGCTCAGCTGCTTTGCATCGCAAGAGCACTACTGCGTCCCTCGAAGGTTCTTTGTATTGATGAGGCCACAGCATCTATTGATCGTGAGACTGAACGTGCCATTTCGGAGGTGGGCAGTCGTCTTTCAAACCCGTTTCTGTGGGGTTCTGACTCGTTGCTTTGCATGCGTAGGCTATTGCATCTGAATTCGCGACGTCGACAGTGCTGACTGTGGCGCATCGTATCCAAACAATCATGCACTGCGACCGTGTGTTGCTACTGGAAAATGGCCGCATCGCTGAGAGTGGTGATCCGAAAGAGCTGGTGAAGAACCCACAGTCATTATTCTATCGATTAGCGAACTCTGTCGCGAGTGAGACAGAGCTGCTTTGATAAACGGTTGAGCCATTACTGACTGCAAAGGAACCAAATTTGCATTTGACAGTTTGAGGAGACGGATCGTACTTGAATTTTGTATGGGTATATACTGCCAATTACCTGCCAGCAAAAATCATCATCCAATCACAGTAATCCAAATCATGATTTTAACTATTAATAATCGAATGTATTAGGTCTAGGTGTCATCTAAGCCACGTATCAAGTCCGATTATAACTGTAATACATGTGTATGTTCATTCAGCTGTCAAGTGGTAGACGTATCACTTTCATATTCCTCTTTATCGGACCTTCGCGATGGGTAGGGGAATTACAACCTGGCAACACATTGCGAGCTAAGGCAACTGCTGTCTCAGCATTTTCCAAGCTGTTAAAGAGTGAGGATGTTGAAGAGGAATACGTAAAGAAAAATATTGAGGCGGATAAGAGTGGCAAGAGCTTTGTGTGCGTCGTGGATAAGTTTGGAATGTATCTTGCGTTTAGTGAAGGAAAGAAGGGTAAATTGCTGGCGCGAAACACTGAAATGCAGTACTATCGCCACGACAAAATTTGGCGACTAGAGCAATGTCCTCAACACCGAGCTTCGCTAAAATCGCGGCTGCTTAAAACAAACAAAACTCTAGAAAACGTTTGTCTGAAAAGAGATGGTGGTGGCTTCGTAGCAAAGGCTCTACCATGTACAAAGGCTGACTTGAAAAAATGGTAGTGTATTTGTATGTCAATGCATGTTCTGAGAGTGACTACCAAGATGCTTCTCTTCTGTGTCTGCTCTGATACCTGTTCGGGCGAGCTTCGAACCTGTCGACGATCAAGAAGCGGAACATCTCTATAGATACCGCTCGTGTCTTCCTCTTTCACTTGGTCCATGTGAAGATGTCGGAAGAACAAGACTTACCTCTCTTCCCCCGCCGACTTCGCAGCGTGCGCATTGCTCGCTTTTGCTTTTTTGCCTCTCTGGTCATGCTGCATCGTGCCCAGCTCTCATCGGGAGCCTGCCCGACCAAGTGCAGCAAACGCCGACCACACTATCACCTGACGTGCCGCTCATGAAGCTCCTAAACGCACCACCGGTGACCTCTTGTCTTGCTGCGCCTGCTGCTCCTCCTTCTCTTACTGTTGTGGCCCCGACAATCTACGCACATGTCAACCGTGTGCTTGATCACGTCGCCCCTGCCGCCGGTGTGTCAGCTGCTCTCACGTCGCACTCGTTCCGTCGTGGTAGGGCTCCGCATGCCAACGGCTTCGAGAAGATAACCGCGCGCTGGATCTTTGATCGCGGATTTTGGAACCTAAGCACCACAAGCAAAGGGTTCAAATACATTTCCAACACAAGTAGAGGAACCACATGCCAATGTAATGAGTGGATACAAATCCGTGGAAATTGTCCCTCTCCAAGACCTGTCCAGCTTTGACGTAGACACGCTTGACGCGATTGCCGAGCTGCAATGAGTCTTGTTCGGAGCTTGCTATCAACTAGAGACGGAGAGCTTCAGCATCAACCGGGATGTTCTGGACGTCCTAACCGCTTGCGGCGTTAGGCACTATCTCGTCGTAAAGGGCTATCTTAACAGTCCAGCGGTGCAGCGACTCGAAACCTGTGCTACGCCGGCTAGACGTACGCTTCCGGACATCTTACGCCTCCTCATACACGTGCGCTAGCGCATAAGCCGAAGTAGTGGGTACAGAGTAGGCCCATTACAGTCGGCGGATCTGGACACGGCGGCGAATGAGCCGGGGGCGGCTTCGCTGTGGGGTCGAGGGCCCTACGTCGATCTCAACGACTAATGTGGAAGGTCCGAATACGGGAGAAGCGGCAGGTGCTCGAGTGGATGAGCTCACGCGACTACCCTGACGCAACGTGCTCGAGGATCAAGGATTTGTGGTGGAAGGCCACGAATGATGAAGCAGCTGCATTGACCAAGGAAGCGGTGGAGGTGATTGGGTACACCTTATTAACGGCAGAGTTAGTATCCACCAAGCGGCTGGGTCACCCTGGCCACTCGAAGCGATATAAGTACCATCGCGGCAGCGTATACCAAGGCGCGAGCGTGCAGACAGTGAGAGACGACGACCGACAAATGCCAGCCGGGCGTGTACGTGCCGTACAAGCACCAGACGTGGGATCGCTACCGACGGCGCGAGTGCGAGAGAAGGGAGCGTGGGGACAAATAAGGATCGATGCGCCTACTACAGCGCCGCAAGAGAAGACTGACAGGCGGCTGGCGAGCCCCTGAACGGGCTGCCACCCGGCGACTATGTGGAGGGATTCACGGCTTGTGTGGCGGAAGTGCTTGGCGTGCGAACATTTCGGCTCCACACGTAGTACGGGCAGGAGATGGCCGTCGACGCGCTATTTGTGGAAGGTGCAGCCGGCGCGTTATTGCTCAGCGAAGAATGGATGATGTGTAACGGCATGAAGATCGACTTCACGTCATGTGAGGTGGAATAGTACGATGTCGACGATAAGACGGTCGTGCTGCTCAGTTGCGTGATGGACAAGTACGACGACGACGCGCGGACGGTACGCATCAGGATGGTACGGATCGCGAACGCCATGACGAGCACGTGTAGGAGGTTGGAACTGGTCGTGGCTGCGCCGGAGGGCACCACCGGTTTGATCATGCTCGCCCACCGCGTAGAGACACATTTGTTGTTGGCTTCGACTCTGACCACGGTGCACGACGGCAAAGTGTCCATATCAGTGATGAACATCGTGGGACGGACGACAAAGTTGCCCGTGAAGGAGGCGTTAGGAGCTGGGTCCCCGACGAGTAACGCCATGGAGGTGCTCGACACGACGGAGAATTGAGCAACAAGAGGGTGCGACAGTGGCTGACTGACCTAAGTGCGAGAACGGATCCTTTGAGCAACGAACTAGACCTAGGCGTCGGCGACATGAGCGGCAACGACAAGAAACTCATGTTGACTGTGCTACGTCACTACTCCACGTTACTGGAACCGAGAGAAGGATGCCCTCCCATGACGTCGCTGGGAGTCGAGCACGAGATTCTCACGGGCAACATGGCTCCAATCAAGGTGAGGCCAAGCCGACACTCCCCGGCGGAACAGGAGCTGAGCTACACAAACGTAGAGGACATGCTCAAGAGCGAAGTGGTCGAAGAAGCTGCGGGGAGTGGGGATTCCCCGTCGTATTGGTGCGCAAATAGGACGAGACGGTGCGGTTCTGCATCCAGTGATCTGGGCGATCAAGTTGTTCAGGTCGTACCTGTATGCGCGCAAGTTCCGGCTGGTGACGGACGACGTAATCGGAAGTGGTTAATGACCTCCAAGGAGCTCACAGGTAAGTCCTACCGATGGACATTGCAACTTCAGGAGCTGGATTTCCAAATCGTGTACAGACCAGGGGCTAACAATGTGGTGGCGGACTCGTTGTCCAGGGCACTGGCGAGAGTAGTGACGGTATAGGCAGGGCACGAGAGCCAAGTGCGCGAAGTCCCCGCCGTCGATGGAGAAGAACAGCTATCGGAATATGTGTGCGGTGTGAGATCCGTGACGAACAGGCTCACGACAAGATGGTCACGAGGCTGTGAAGGCAAAACAAATATGGTGACCGAGCGATCGCGGAGTCGGACGGCGTGGCGCATTCGACGGTACCCGTCGTATGGTGCTACCGACGGCGCTACGGGCGAATGCACTGATGTAGAACCACGCCTCAGGGTACGCGGGTCATCTTAGACGCAACAGAGGTGCACCAGCCCGACGGTAAGCTGTTTGTGGTCGGACGTGAAGGCACACGTCAGGCGGTGGGGCTAGTCGTATAGAGACTGTAAATCAAGCAAAGCGAAGGCGCGGTTAGTAATACCCCCGGTACGGAGCCAGGAGACTGGCAGTCCAGGCGATGGATGGGCACTCGACGTATCCGACCCGTTGACGATCGCGAGGGCAACAGATACGTGGTGTCGGTCCTGGAATATGCAACGAGCTACGCGGTGGTGGCGGCGCCCAGCCACACGGTCGTGGATGTGGTGTAGCAGGAGTAGCAAAATCTGCGAGATTGCTGGATCCAACTTACCAACAGCGCCCAGACACCGGCTAACGGAGGGGACCCCCCCCCCCCGGTGATCCGTGATCTGCTGAGCTCCTCACATTAGTTTTCCGTCGGTAGGGTGGGATCTTGCTCTCTCTGTAACTCCCGAAGAGCTCAAGAGGTGAAGCTTGAGTGTCTTGGCGAGACGTGAAGATGGGGTGGAGTAGTAGTAGTAAGATCGTCACTCTGCGTCCGTAGTTGTTTTCTGGTTCCCAAGCGAATATTCGAGCTTAGTGGATCCAGGGGCTAGATCTGGAATTCGGCCGGAGAGTTTGCTTTGCGGGTGTGCTCCCTTGCCTTTGTTTCCCTTTGTATCGTACTTGCCGCCTCCTGTAGCGGGATCTTGAGAGTTGAGATACTCTTAGGTATACCCGGCCAAGTAGTAAATCCGGTTAACTTTTCTGACCTGCACGTGTAAAGGAAAGCTTACTAGGTGGTAGGATCTGGCCAATATTTTATCCAGTTATCACTACCAACACTAGATGCGCAATTCCCAACCTTCACCGAGCTCGAACGACCAATGTTATTCCGATTCTTGAGGACAGGAAGGCACTTGCGTGATACTCTGCAAATTGGGCTCTGATTCGTAATTAAGCCTATACCTCCTGAACTCTACCTTCTATGCATTTTCCCTGCTAAATCCTCTACCAGGCTCGGCGGCATGCCCTTTTTCTCCTCGGTCCATCACCCCAGCTGTATCAGCATCAGATCCACTGAATCCATGACGTGATTATTATGAGGTCGCCATATTATAAGTACACAGTTCCGGATCCAAGCCACTTTGA